GTGTGTGTGTGTGTGTGTGTGTGTGTGTGTGTGTGTGTGTGTGTTTAAATATGCTCCTGCCAATGGATCTCCTGATTGTTTTTCCCTAAATGGATTCCTCCCCCATGCACAGTCTTGGTAGGAATGCCTCCCTCTGGTGCCCCTGCGGGGCCCACCCTCTCTGAAGCAGCCTGCAATGGAGTTTCTTTCCCACTCTGTGACTTATATCCCTAGAGGAAATATTCGCCGTTCTCTGATCCCTGGCTTCCCAGAACAGGCAAAGATGGGGAGGATGAATATTTGCTCACTTGGACCCAAATATAACTTAAGGAGACTTGGAAACAATAACATCACTGTTACATGTACCTCCGCAATAACTAACAAATTGGATTCTGTCAGTCCTGGAGTCTGAGAAATGGCAATAGTCTAGGAAAGGAAAAGCATTTCCAAGAAGAGCCTGCAGGCTGGGGAGATGGTTCAGCTGTTAAGAGAACCAGCTGTTCTTCCAGAGGACCAGGGTTTGATTCCCAGCACCCACATGGCAGCTCACAGCTGTCTGTAACTTCATTTCCAAGTGATCTGATACTCTCTTCTGGCTTCCATGGGTACAAGGCATGCACGTGGTACCCAGACATACATGCAAACAAAATACCCATATACTTAAAATGCAAATACAATAATAAATCTAAAAAGAGGAGGAGGAGGAGGAGGAACCTTGGCCAAACATTAAGGTTTATGACGAGGCCAGAAGCTAGAACTAAAGTTTCTCTTACATTTCCTTCTGTTTTCTCTCTGTGTGTCTTCTTAGGCCAACTCAACTTTTGAAGAACTGGATCGAGTTAGGAAGCTGGCCAAAGCCTGGGGAGAAGTGGGGCCCCAGATCTGGTACTTCTTTGAAAAGAGCACACAGATGACCATGATCAGAGTAAGGATGCTCACATCGCAGGATGGGGAAGAAGGAGAAGGACTGTAGAGAGTTCATCACTACCTGAGTCAGATCAGGCCATAGCAAGCAGAACCCCAAGCACTTGTCCTCAGACTGTCCCCAAGTGGAGTCACTGGCGCTGGGTGGGGAATATGTGTCCTAAATTCTGGGGGCATTTAAAAGTTGTCACAAGATCAGTCTCTTTCCCATGAATTCACTTGAAGGTCTCAGGTTCAAAAGGGTATCTCCTGAAGAGGCCAGCTCTATATACCAAGATGGCCACTTGTGTCTGTACGGCCTCATCTGCAACTTTGGAAAACCAAGAGGCAAGAGTTCTCAATATCAGGGAAATTAAAACGAGAACAAAACAGACAGCCATCCAATGGAAATCTTCTATATCATTTTACATGCTCACTAATACCCCTCCCACACTCCATCTTGCCTCTCCTCTATTCTAGAGGCCCTTGTGTTTGAAGAAAATGATAGGCATACATATGCCTTGTAATGGGAGGAAAACCTACCAGCTAGTGAGCCTTAGTGTCTCAATCACTAGTCATTAAAAATCTGAAATGCTCTGAGAATAAGATCAAAGAGCCTACAGAATTCTTAATTTCTGTGACTATGTTTCTTCTTCCCAAGGATACCCTGGAACACCCAACAGTAAAAGACTTCATAAACAGGCAGCTTGCAGAAGAAGGTATTACCACTGAAGCCATATTGAACTTCTTCCGTAGCGGTCCACGAGAGAGCCAGGCTGATGGCATGACCAACTTTGACTGGAGGGATGTATTTAACATCACAGACCGCTTCCTACGCCTGGCTAATCAATACCTGGAGGTAAGAGGCATCAATCCACCCGAGGACCATAGTGAGCCTCTTAAAGATAATCTCATGGGTAAGGCTAGAGATCTGTTAGCCAGTCAACTGGGCTTGGCTTTGGTCTTTCATCCTTCCCATGAAGAAGTAAGAGTGTCATGGCCGTCTCACAGGTCCTCTTCTCTGGAGGATCCTCTATACTTGCATAAAGACTCCTTTGCATCTTGCTAACTTCATGATTCCTTTGGTTCTCCCCTCCTCCCTCTCAGTGCACAGCCTCCTCAACTTTCTCCCATCTGCCATTGTTTCAATGACCTTCTATTGGCCAGTGTCCACCAAACCTTGAGTCTGAGCCTCATGGATTGCTGAACACCTCTACCCCAAAGTCCTAAGGGCCTATAAGACTCAAGATGCCTCAAAACAAACTTATACTCTCCTTTCCCAGTAAACTTCCTGAACTTCTTACGCCAGTTAATTCCACCAGCCTTTGCTCAGATTCTCAGGGAGAGAACACCAAGGTCATCTTTAATTTTCCCCTCTTCACTCTCAATGAAAGAGTGGTTATATGCTGGTACCTGGTGCTCATTTCTGTACTGCATGTTTTTGTCTCTCCTTGCTTCATCTCCTCCTCCTACAGTTCCATTAAGTGTGCAATGTTATCCCTGCCTGGATGTAGACATAGAAGCCAAGGCTTAAAGAAGTTGAATAGGATCCCACAGCCATTAGGAGTACCAAGCGGAGTCCAAATGTGGGTGTGCCTGAATTCAGAGCCAGCCCTGATGACCTCTTTCTTCCCCTGCCACACCCATTCCAAGTCTTTTCCATCTCCTAAACATCTCTCGGCGCTGCCTCTTCTTGCTCTTGGAAATCTGTGAGGGCTAGAGGCCTTGTACCAGCCTGTCCGAGCAGCTTTCTCCCTGGATTCCAGGGTTCAGTCCCTGTTAATCCGGGCATTCCTCCACCCAGACTCCAGCATCACATTCCAAACACACATCTGCTTGCATCACTCGCATGGTTAAAGTCTCAGTGACTCAACAAAAAAGCATCCATTGGTAGTGCCTCAGCTGCTGACAGCCTTCAGTGGTCATCCTTACACCACAAATTCCACAGAAGGGGGGAACGCCTTTCTCACAGCATAAGCAATACCCCCAAAGGGCCCCCTGCTCCACCAAGCTTTGGGGGCCTTAGTGCCTCAGGAAGGCAATAGTTCTGACTGGGAGGCCTGGAATGCATGCCACCATGGGGGACTTGACTCTAAGCAAGATTCTGATGAAGTGAGTGAGGGAGGGATTTTCCTGAAAGAAAATGCAACGTGTATCTGCTCAAGCCTGAAGTGGCTTTTCCTTTTGCCCCTGTCTACCTGCTAATTCTTGGTTTGTTTTCTTTGCGGTGCTGGGGGTAGAGCCCAGGGCCTCATGCATGCCAGGCAAGTGTTACCATGGAGATGCAACTCCCAGACCTACTCATCTGTTCCTCAACACTTGGCCTTCAAGTATTCCCTCTACTTTCACATAAGCTTAGACATTCACTCTTCCATGATCCACAGCCCTCTCTTCATACCCTCTCAGGCTCATGTCCAAGTTCTAGTTACAGTGAGCTGTCTTTGTGTCCATCTCCGGTTTAAACAGCTGGATGGATTACTTGGCATCAGTGGGCACATCTTAGTTATCTTCGGGTTCTCAAACCTCAGCCCCAGGGATTTTCATCTCTGAAGGCTGATCACACCCAGTGGGCTGGGCCTCAACCTTCAAAAATCTAGGGCCATTGGAAAGTTTAAGGTAGCTGGGTAGTAGAGGTGCATGCCTTTAATCCCAGCACTCAGGAGGCAGAGGCAGGCGGATCTGTGAGTTTGAGGCCAGCCTGGTCTACAAAACCAGTTTCTGGATAGCTAGGGCTGTTACACAGAGAAACCCTATCTCAGGGGAAAAACAAACAAACAAACAAACAAAAACAAAAACAAAAAAAGGTTGAAGGTGCTGCTCCTAGAAATAAGAAATACCTATAGGAGAGAGCTCTCTCTCCCAGATGGCGGGTCATAAGAGTAACTCACTAGTGAGAAAAGGCCTGGCTTTATGTGTTCTTGAGGATTCCCTGCTGCCCTGGAGCCATCAGGATTTCCTTAGAGTATGTGGACTTCCTTCTCCTGAATCCTGGACGGTGACATCACTGTTCACACTCCCACATAGTTCCTTAGGAAGTACAAAGCATGGTGGCGGCAGCACCAGAGTCAAAAAAAAAGCAATTCCCATCTTACCAGGAGATGACCCGTGATCTCAGGGGGCTTTTTAGCAAACACATTCTGAGCACCAACCCAGAGCAGCTGACTCAGAACTTCCACAGAAGAGCCCTGGTGTCTCACACACGTTTGCAGATCTGTTAGACCCGGGAAAGAGGCTGCTGCTCCGTGTACAGCTCCCAGTTGATGGCCCCTCCTCTGCAGTTGAGCTCACGTCTCTGGCTACGTCCACCACTGTTGTCCGAATCTTAGTACAGACAGGACCTGTGCAGGGGTGCGGGTGGGCAAGGGAGTATTTTTTTTTCCTTATAGTGGTTCTCACAATGTTTTTGTGATGTGTATGAGAAATAATTCTCGTCTTTGTTTGACTTGACATTTGTATCATGATATGAAAACTTCCTTCCTTCCTTCCTTCCTTCCTTCCTTCCTTCCTTCCTTCCTTCCTTCCTTCCTTCTCCCCTCCCCCTTCCTTCCTCCCTCCCTCCCTTCCTTCCTCCTCCTTCCCTCCCCTCCCCCTCCCTCCCTTTCTCCCTCCCTCCTTCCCTTCCTTCCTCCTTCCCCCTCCCTCCCTTCTTTCCTTCCTCCTTTTTGCTCTCTATCAACTGAGCAGTATCCCCAGCCCCAAAGGAATTATTTTTCCTAAGCATCTTGTGTTTAATATAGTAGCAATAGATGCTTAATGGGCATTAGTCTCTTAAATATTTAAGAATTAAGCCTTCAGGGTGAGACTTTCCTAGACTCGATTCTCTGTTCCTCTGTCTGCATCTGTGAAATGTAGACTTTAGGAGTATTTACTAATACTTGGCTTGTTCTGAGAATTAAATGAGCTAATTCATGCAATACACTGTCATATAAGAGGCATTATTAGGGGCTGGAGAGATGGCTTAGAGGTTAAGAGCAGTGGCTGCTCTTCCAGAGGTCCTGAGTTCAATTCCCAGCAACCACATGGTGGCTCACAACCATCCGTAATAAGATCTGGTGCCCTCTTCTGGCATGGAACACTGTATACATAATAAATAAATAAATATTAAAAAAAGAAGTATTATTAATCAATATTAAATGTTAATCAAAACACAAATAAACCTGGTCTCAGTCGGACCTGACCCCCAGCTGGTGCCCCTCTCAAGCTCGTGAGTTGCTGACCATATATATATATATCTGGCTTCTCAGCCCCTGGGACTTCCCCAGGACTTTGAAGTGCAGCCCACTGTGGCCAAGAGTCAGTGGCCTCCCCAGGGAAGCCCTACAAGGCTTTCATAATAGCAGAAATGATGACTCAGTTTCTTATCGTCTTGTCCTTGGGAGTGAAGGAAGCAAGGACAGGAAGGAGGAGGTCCAGTAGGGGAAGACAGGCAGTGAAGGAGAGAGCCACTGCCGTCCAGCCTGGCTTGTCTGCAACTGCTCTTGTGTTTGGGGCCGTCTGCAGGAGCCTTGAAAAATCCCCCCCACCCCATTCCACAACACCTGAGTAGCACACTTAAGGTTTCTCTAGGACAGGGACGCTAGCTGTTACTACCTACACCCTGTTTAAGAAGACCAGCTTGGTACCTCCTTTTCAATAATGGGACCTGTGCTAATGAGATTAGAAAAGTTCTTCATGGGCCAGTCGAGGTGTCCACATCCATTCCTATTCTAAAAAACAGAAACCCAACAAGAATCACTTAAGGAAAATTAGGCAAATGAATTCTGTTGCCCATAACAATGAGCACTTAATAGTGATACTGGAAAATAACAGAAGCCCTGAGAAGGGGGAACCAATCTTTAAGCCTTTCCTCACTATGGAAAATGAGAGTGACCCCCCATGGATTTTCTTCTGGGTGACTAGAAGGGTTAAATCTTCCTCCCTGCTGAGGGTGAGGCCCTGAGCTGACCGTCCCATGGAGCAACCTGAAGGGTATCCATTCTCGTGAATCTGCCTTGTGGGTCCAGGTTCAACAGCTGCTTATGGGTCTGGCCCACCTGTCCCACAAGGGCTAAAATTTCTGCTTCTTATTAGTCGTTCTGAGAGATTTAACACTCTATGGCTTGATTTCTGTACAATTTTGTCCAATTCTAAGTAACAATACAAGGACAGAATGAGGTCCAGAGCACTTAGCACATTCATCAGACCTGTGTGTAAATGCTAGGCTGGGGGCCTGACTCTTCGTCTAGAAGGTGGGGTAGGACCAGTGTCTCTTCACAGCTGTGGGGATGACATTAGATACTCTGAGTCACTCCAAGGACACACACATGTGGCAGCTGCTGCTCTGACCCATGAGCCAAATCAAGAATATACCTTTTCTCACTCTCAGAAATGCCTGGACGTTAGTCAGGACCCGTCGTGCTGATCTCTGGGTTAGCCTTAGTGAACTGGCTGAGAGTCAGAGTTGGGTCTGTCTATTCCCATAGGCTAGGAGGATAGGTCTGGGATGCCAGACTTCAGTGGACAGTGACTCAGAGGCTGAGAAACTTTCTTGTTCTCAGACCACCCATCAGATAAAGCTTTCTATGTAGCATCCCTCACCCCATAGCTAATTTCTGCCTTTCGGCTGTTCCTGAGAAATCAAGATAAAAGTGAGACAGACCTATTGGTCAGAAGGTAGACAGTGGTCTCGGGACAGGATGCTAGTGACATTTGAGAATCTCCACATCTCTCATGTGTGGAAAGGCTATTTCCAGACACTGTCCCATCATCTCTTCTCCAAATCAGGGAAACTGAAGTTCAGTGAGGGCTTCATAGGTAAACATTTATGTATGTGGGGGGGGGGGGAGAGCAGTATGTTTGTTTATTTATTTACCTACTTTG